TGCTTGAGAAATAATTCGCCTTACCTCTCCACCAAAAAAATAATGATTAAACATGTTGTAGTGGCAGAACTCATCCTCTGTGTAAAACTGTGAATACCTGTAAAATAAGTTTTAATAGTAGTAGAAAAATACAAATAACTTATTGCCTGCCTTAAGAAAAATGACATCTTTGAGTTCTCATTACTGACACCACATACCAACACTGGGAATTATTAAGTATAATTACTTTTTTCATAAATTTGATGTCATTTGTGTATGTGTGCAGGAACAGAGATGTGGAGACACAAAAGGGAAAACAACCACCAACTAATATTTTAAAGCAATAAAACCACAAATCTTTGTACATATTCTTCAGACAGATAAATGTTTATCAAAACCTACCTGAAATCAATATCTAGGAGAAGGCTTCTAACCCTGAAATCATCTTCTTGTGATGCTTTAGACTGGATCATTTCATGAAGCCTGAAGTATAATTGGAGCAAAGAAATTTAACACACAGTCACTGGCTTCAGAAATTATCTTGCAAGACAAGAATGCCTGGTACTTTACTAAACCTAAAACCAAACAGATAGAGAAAATGGAGTAATCTGAATTTAGACAATTCCATTTGGCTAATATTCAGAGTAATAAAAACACATTAGTCTTAAAAAAATGAAAAGTCAGTGGAGCCTACTGGATCACCATGGACAAAAAACCCCAAACATAATCAAAGAAACTCATACCTTCCGTAAGAAACGAAGCAGGACATTTAAAATATGTGTGTGCCTGTATGTTATTTGCATTCTTACACACTCAAAGCAAGACCTCACTAGATGTTTGGAGAATGCCAATCAGCCAAAGCACAGTGAGCCTCTTATTGTAGGAGAATCCTCAATTATTTAAATATTAGTATGCTGAAAAGTTTTGAGACAGAAATACTAGAAAGTGTAACAGTTCTCATTGACATACCTGGGTGTTCCAACAGAGAGCACTCTTCTGAATCCTAAATCAACAATTAGATCCAGCAGGAACTGGCAACTTCTGTCTGCAAATAAATACTGTGCATTTGTTTTTTTATTTTCCAGTGGATGTAGAAGTTGACTGGGACTTTTTAACTGTGCAGTGGAGATATCAGACAGGAACTGGTGATCCAAGTGCTTTTCCCATTCAGCTGGCAATAGCAATTGCTGGCATTCC